AATAAAAATATATAATATTTACAAAGTATAAAAACTATATTGTTCAGTAGATATATAATTTGCATTAATAATAGAATCAAATATCATATTACTGAATACGTATTAAATGATATTTGAAGAATTAAATCTAATTTATCTTAATAAATGTCAATTTTCTTCTGCTAATTAAAATAAAAAAAAGAACTTCTTTGATTATTTCATAAGTACAATACAATAAATATGTAGAGTTTACAATACACTAAAACATAAAAAATTTATTCATTAACAGATATAGATGTGTCTTTGTTTACAAATGAAATTGAATTATGGGCAAAGTTAGAACATGAAACAGAATTGTTTAAAGATATGATCCAATCTTTAAGAATTCCTACAGAATTTCAGAACTTGGATTGGAAATCTTTAACTGCAACTTCAAATACAGCTATATGTATAATATGTCAAGGAATTGTGAAAACATTTATGAATTTACGACATGAAGGAATGTCTGAAGAAAATATAAAACACAAAATAATTAAATTATGTGTACTGTTAAATATTCAGACAGAAAAAGTTTGTAAAGGAGTTATTGAATTGAACTTAGTAAGTCATATTTAAATAAACTTATCAAAATATTTTGATAATTAGTATATAAATTATCATTTTTTTTATTTCTGTAGCCTGTCATTCTATATATAGTAGATTCCAAGCCAAACTTGACAGCTACCACAATTTGTGGTGTTGTACTAGAATCAAAATCTTGTCCTTTAAAGGATCCTGAATTTATTTGGAATATTGATATCAATAATAAACCTAATATAATAATTACTGAAAATGAAACACAAGAACAAATGAAAATTTTACAAATAACAGATCTTCATTACGATCCTCTTTATGAACCAAATGGTAATTCAAATTGTGGAGAACCAGTATGTTGTCGAAAAGGACAAAATAAAACTGGTATAACATCACTTGCTGGGTTTTGGGGAGACTATAAATCTTGCGATACTCCATGGCATGCAATTACTGATGCTTTAAAGCACATAAAAGATATACATCAGGTACTAATACTATAAGTAATTTATATCTTTTAATTTATAAAATTTAAACAATTATTAAGTATACATTTAATTCTAATTCATCAAATTTTATTTAA